GCAGTCCTGACTGGGAGGCCTGGGCAGAGCGTCCTCCCGTCGGTCAAGACTTCCGACTCACTGTCCCCATAAGGGCCAGATTTGTAGAGCACATAACAGGGTTTGAAATTAAACATGTGTTCACCTACGTGTAATTTGGAGCGAGCTGGCTTTCCGTGTTCTCACATTTCTGTGTCATCAAGGAGCCCGGGTTGTGTGTGTGCCCCCACTCCTGGATGCCACCCTGCGGGGCCAGCCCCCCTGGAGCAGGAGGGGACTTGAGACAAGATTTGTAGCTCTTGGTGTTTGGAACAGAAGGGCCAGTTCTGACCTGGAGGCCAGATCATAAACTCTAAGTAACCAGGCTCCCAGGGTTATTCACACAGCACGAGTCTCGGGCATGTCTTGGCCTGCCTGTGAACCTGCAAGCGCAGGAGGTCGGTTCTGCAGGACAAATCAGAGAAGCATCTAGCCATATAGAAGAGCATGAGAGGCAGAGTTTAGAGAGCGGGTGTGAGGATCAGTTCTGAGTCCCAGGGGCTGTGGCTGTTTGTGTGGGCAAAGAGTGGAACTACTGATGTTGCCAGGAGTTCCAGTAGACCTTGTCTCTGGGGAGAAACTGGGACTGAATCTGCTACGGGCCAAGGACTCAGAGTGTCTCTGAATCTCTATCCCTCCCTTAGTTTAGATGTAGAGACTTTAAACAATACGTTTCTAATGATAGATTGCAAAAATTGCCCTGAATTCATCTCATCCTGTTTCTGTTTGTATACTTTTGCTTTTGTGACTTTGCTGCTTCTCCCATCAAGAAGTGAATGTATTTCTCTGTCCCTTAGATCTGGGCTTGGCCAAGTCATTTAACAAATGTAACCTAAGCAGATGCCTCAAAAGAGCCAGGTGCTTTGCAACTTGTCCCCCTTTTGGTTCTCTTACAGCCCTGAACAACCATGGGAAAGAGGCTAAGCTCGCCTGCTAACAGGAGGAGGTGCTCCAGGCAACAGCCTGCCAAACCCCAGACTCGGGCTGAGGCCACGCCAGATCTCCTAGGGCCAGCTGATTCTCCAGTTGCTGTGGACACACGAGAAGGCACAATAGGGTTCAGCCACATACAGCCCTGACCAGCTGACCTACAGCATTGTGAGTCTAATAACTGATAGCAGGGTTAAGCAACAAAGTTTTGGAGCGGTTTCATGCAGAAATTGACACATTCAACGGATAGCCTTGAATTAGTCTCTTTTATGGTTGTTTTTGTTTTTTAAAGATTTTATTTATTTGACAGAGAGACAGAGATCACATGCAGGCAGAGAGGCAGGCAGAGAGAGAGGGGAAAACAGGCTCCCCGCCGAGCAAAGAGCCTGACTGGGGGCTCGATCCCAGGACCCTGAGATCATGACCTGAGCCGAAGGCAAAGGCTTAACCCACTGAGCCACCCAGGCGCCCCTTGAATTAGTCTTTTACAACAGTGACAGGTGTTGTTTGCAAAGTAAAATCCCAGATGCATCCAGCTTCTTGTCCCTTGCCCCTTCAGCGCCCTAATTGTAAAAAATTCTGTATCTCTCCCTTTCTTACACGAGGAAACATTAATGAAGTTATCTCCTTCCAGTGCTGTTTTCATCTCCAAACTGCAACATTCTCCACTCCCCATCTCCTGGGACAGGTTCTCCCATCTGACCTCCAGCCCATGATTTCCATGTTATAAAAGCCCCCCCCCCCCGGGGGAAAAAATATATATATATATATATGTTTATAAAAAATAAAATTATAAAAAACAAAAAACAAAAAAGCCCCCCAAGGTTCCCAGCTCCTACAGGGGTCAGCCAATGATGGCCAGAGCTATAGGAACAGAAGAGCAGATAGAGGAAGTGGAGTAAAGGGAAAAGAGGGGGCAAGAATATATCAAGTCTTTTGGGGCACGTGGGTGGCTCGTGGGTTAATCCACTGCCTTGACTCAGGTCGTGATCTCAGGGTCCTGGGATCGAGCCCCGCATCGGGCTCTCTGCTCAGCGGAAGCCTGCTTCCCCCTATCTCTCTGCCTGTCTCTCTGCCTGCTTGTGATCTCTCTCTGTGTCAAATAAATAAATAAATCTTAAAAAAAAAAAAAAGAATTATATCAAGTCTTTGAACCAAATGTTTATATACTGTGACTCAGGCAACCCACGCTGAGGAAAAACAAGAGAGCTGAAGACATAATTACATACAATGATGTTCATTTGAACGTTACTTGTATTTGCAAGAAACAACCCAAAAGGATATGTGACTATGAGATTGCTACAGTCATTTAAAACCACATATTAAAATAATTTTTAATGTCATGGGGAGGAGCTAGCACTGAGAAAAACAAGAGCTAACATATGGGGAAGGTGGTTTACCGCCATGGTGGGAGTGTTTGTTCCTTAGAACTGGGAGTATAATTTACTGTAGTTTACAGTATTCCACAATAAATATCTGTGAGTTTAATCATTTGGTATCTGTATCTATTTCTGTTTTTATTTACAGAAACAGGCCAAGAAAGAGGGAGGTGGTGGTGCTTGCTCTCTCTGAAAAGCTGAGCTGAGACCGGGAAGGGGGTGCAGGTGGTTGCTAGGATGGGCCCCCAGGGCAGGCGTGCTGGGACAGGGAAGGTGGACCTGACCCGATTACTGCTGTGAACACGTCAGTTCCATTTCACTGGATGTCGTTTGAGGCAACATGTAGAAGTCATCCCAGGATTGTTCCTCTGCAGGTCATTTGGTTGGAGACTCTATCCATCCACCCCATTCCCTCCTTGGCTGATGATTCCCTCCTGGGATGTGAATCACCACCCACCTCTTGTCTGCACAGCTGGTGACCAGAATGAGCTCACCCAGCTTCAGAAAAAACAGATGCTTAAAGGCTGCTCTGAACCTAGAACACAGCACGCTCAAAAGCCCTGGGGCCAAAACAACCTTGGCCCTGTCCAGGACCAAAGAGAAGACCACGATGTACTGAAGGTGAGAGGCAGGAAAGGTAGATGACTCATTCAGGAAGGCAAGGCCTGTGAGGCCAGCATTCGCCTTCTGGGCCACGGTGAGTTCAGGTGCACAGACTCTGGGTGGGTTGCTCAGTTGTATTCCTCTGGCTCCCTCAATTGCTGTCTCTCCTTCCTGCTGTGCCTTGTCCCTGGTCCTCTGCTGCAGGACAACAGACACCACACATAACTGACCTTGCATGCAACTGCAGTAGGAGAGGATGTCTAGAAGATCTAAAGAAGGGGCACTGGGGGGCCCTCTTCTTTTCTGGCTAAGTACGTATGGGCTACCGCACGCAGCCTCTGCCCATTGGTTCTTGCTAATGCAATGCGAGCAGGAAGCCATATGGTAGGTTTTCGGAAGCTACATAAAAATTAGCTGTTGCCCGCAGGCCCTTTGCTCTACATCTATGTCCCTTTCTCCACCCTACATCTTGGAATGTGGTCTTGCCCAGTGAGGAGTGTCCTCCTAATGTTGGCAGGGCCTAGAACCGAGTACCCTGCTCAGAGAAAAGTCCATACCGTTAAACACTTAGTTCGTTAAGCAAGAAAGAATGATGATAAACATTCAACTAAAAAAAATGTTTTTTATTAACAAAATAAACCTTTGTAAATCATAAGGAAAATTAAGATACAATGAGAAACTGGAGTGCAAGCAAGTTATAGAACAAAAGATAAGTTCTGCTAGTCCTTAACAGGAAGAAATGCTACTATATTAGACAAACATTAGCTACTGTTATAGAGGTTTTTTTAAAAAAGAAAACAGGAAATAAAATGGAAGTCTGAAAGAGCATAGACAGGAAATATTAGTTTTGAGAGCAATTTGAAGAATTATGTGCAAATACATTTGAAAACTTTGATAAATTGCTTTTTAAACGAAACTGAATGACCTGACTTATTCAAGAAGAAATGAAAATCTAAACAAACCTATACATACAAATAAAGTTCAGCAAGTTACAGAATGCCAGTTAAATACATGGAAACAAAACAAATAAGGAGTAGATGATTTTATGGCTACTTTTTTTTTTTTTTAAAGAAATAGCAACTCACTGTGTCCTGGAAGATTGGATTAGTTTCCATTGAACAGAAAACCCAAAATGATAGTGGCTGAAGCAAGTTCATATCTCTCCCATGTCGACAGTCCAGAAAATGTAGAAAGTCCAGGAAATCCATAGAATCCAGGGCTGGTATGGCACCTCCACAAATTTACCAGCTTCCTGTTAGCCACACTTCCGCCATCTGTAGAATCTAGGACAGCTTCTAAAGATCCAGCCATCACACCTCAATCATTTACGTTGTTTGTGGCTTGGCTGACTTTACCATGATCTTGCCATTAGTCAACTCAGCCATGATAATTTAGGTTGAACATGGAATGTTCTCTTCAAAATTGACCCAGCTAGAGCTAAGGTCTATTTGATCATAGAAGACTCATAACAAAGTCTGCCAACAATCATGCCAACAGTAACTATTTGCTGAGATCTTAAACTATTTCAAGATAGCTGGCTTGGCACAGTCTGGAAAATATCAACTTCTTTTCCAGTACCGAGTCCCCCAAGAAAATCTGTTATTATTCTGAATCTCCTTCCCATTTGAAACATACCCCTGTAAGCCAATTTCAACTCCTCTTTCACATGTGACGTGTTATTGCAATAGGCAGAGCTCACCAGGTCTGGAAGGCATCTGTCCTCACTGCATCATTGGAGCTATGCCAGAGGTTGGAAGAGTCACTGTGTTGGCTCTCCTGCTTTTTCTCACAGCTGGTAGAGACAATTGCAATTTCCCTCACCCTCCACCCATGAGTTCCTATGGCATCGAACAAACTGGGAGAACTCAGACATCCTGACCTCCGGGTCACCCTGCAGGTCACCCAAAAACTCTTGGAAATCAAAGCTCTGAACCCACTGAGGGGCTTGGGGGGGGGGGTGGAGAAGACAATGCATGATCATTGCTATTATATGGCTTCCCCAGCTCAGGCTGACTATCTGTGCTATTTTTGCCATTGTTTTATCCATTCATTCAAAGAAGATTTATTATGTAGCCACTAAAAGCCCAGCACTGTTCTGAGTACAAGAAGTGAAGAAAACAGACCAGATTTCTGCCCCCACAGGATTGACATTATATTTTCTATGCTAGTTAAACCAAGAAGGAGATTGTAATTCTTTCCTTACTCGTCTGGGGGAGGCAGGAACAAAGGAGAATGTTGATAAACCCGGAAATAGGGCCGGACAGTATCAGAGAAGGAGGCCTTTGGGAAGGTAAAGATGTGGGATCCAGTGGTCATGTTGTAAAAGGATACAAGTCCGACATCACAGTCCAGAAAAATCCCCACAACCAGAGGCTGCTCTGCCAGAGAAAGGGAAGTTATGGGATAGGTAAGTGCTAAGTAGCCTTTCTTTTTGCACAGTCTAATGGCCCAGAATCCAGACTGAGGCTTCTGCATCAAACCAACGTCCCTGTGAACACTGTCCAGACAGACTCCTAAGTCCCACCCAGTTCCTTCTCCCACATCCACTTCGAAGTAATGTTTTCCTGAAGTGAAGCCTTCACAGCCCAAAATACAGGGTAAGATACTAAATCTCTTAGAAGAATTGTCCAGATTCTCCTGGGGGCATCCACGGGTCACTTGTCTCCGATCCTCAGACAGAATGAGCTCCCGATGAGCTGTATCTGGATCCAGAGTCACATTGACTGAAAACAATAAATAAGTAAGTAGATAAATAAATAATTTTTTGTTGTCAGGAGCACAGTTTAATTTAAATAAAACCAGCCTGTCCTCAGATCCAAGCATTGTCTCTTACTAGCCCTGACAGCTTAGACAAGTCCCTCCCTAAGACTCAGTTTTGTTATATAGGAAGTAGAAATTATCGTATCTGGCACAAAGAATAGTGGGAGAACTGAATGAGATCATGTATGCTCAGTGCTGAGTAAAATTCCTGGAATAGAGCAAGTGCCCAGTCAGTGGTAATGATAAGAATATCATCTTCATAAGCGTCACCATCTTAGTCACTCAGAGGAGTCAAGGAAAAGAACTAACCAGAGTTGACGTGGTTACTGTCCTCTCCAAAGCCAAAGGAAGTACTAGAGGAGACCACAGGGCAAAAAGAGGCAGAGTTAAGAGTCCCAAGTCCCTCCCTACTGCCTATCACTTGGAGGGTCTGCCTTCCTCTGCCTCTGGTCACACTCTCCTGCAATTACAGTGCCCTCCACCTGCTCCTGAGGGCTCCAGGGATGTGATGGTTCGGTTCCTATGCCTAGCCCTGGCTGCTTCACTGTTCCTTGGTAATGACCCCAGTCTTCACCTCTGTAGGTAATTCCTTTATTAAATGCTATCTGATCAGTTCTTATCATGAGCCTGATTCAAAAAAATTTGAGGTTTCAATTGATATTCTCTTAATGATACAGGAAAACCCAAGTTAAGAAATTAAAATGCTTACAGGTTGGCAATACCACTTGAAGGTGAAGATATCAATTGGATTTTTAAAATTTTACCTCAGGAAGTGGAGATGCAACATTGGGGGGTTGGGGAGTAGGAAAAGAATAAATGAAACAGGATGGGATCAGGAAGGAGAAAAACCATAAGAGACTCTTAATCTCACAAAACAAACTGAGGGTTGCTGGGGGGAGGGGGGTTGGGAGAGGGTGGTTGGGTTATGGACATTGGGGAGGGTATGTGCTATGGTGAGTGCTGTGAAGTGTGTAAACCTGGTGATTCACAGACCTGTACCCCTGGGGCTAATAATACATTATATGTTAATTAAAAATTTTTAAAAAAATTTTTACCTTAGATTGCTTATAAGTGACACATACAACAAAAAGACACAGGAAGGTTGACAGTTAAAGGATGGATAATATAGTTATATAGCTGTAACAGTTATATAATTATATCAAATGATATTAAGTCAAAGTATTATCAAGGATGAAAAGGGTTACCTAACAGAGAAAAATACATTAATTCACTAGGAAGATATCCTAATTCCAAACAAGCATGCACTGATAATGTAGTCTCAAAATATGCTAAGTAAAAATTATGGAATTATAAGGAGAAACTGACAATTCTACAACCATCATGAGGTATTTTAACATTCTCTTTCTCCATAATTGATAGATCAAGCAGGCAAAAAAGGAAAGATACAGAAGATCTGAACAACCCAACAAGCCCAATCTAATAAATACATGTAAAGCTCAGCAATTAATAAACAGAGAATATGCACTTTTCTCCAGTATAGATGGAATATGTACTGAGTAAAGACTAGTCAGAAAGCGAGTCTGAACAAATTCCAGTGACTCTATATTGCACAGATCATATTCTCTCACCTCAACACAATTAGGTTAGAAATCAACTAAAAAAGATCAATAAAAAAAATCTTCTCAATATTAGGAAATTTAAATGCTTCTAAATCATAATATGATGATATACAGACTTGGGCAATAATAAAATGCTACGTATTAAAAAATTATACAGTGACGCTAAGGTGGAATTTTCCAGAAAATTGATAACCTTTAAGTACTTATTTTAGAAAAAGAAAAAAAGCTGGAAATGAAGGAGCTAACTATGCAGGTTAAAATAGGAAAAGAACAGAGAATGGGGCTCCTGGGTGGCTCAGCAGGTTGAGCATCCAACTCTTGATTTAGGCTCAGGTCATGATCTCAGGTTTATGAGATCGAGCTCCACATGGGTCTCCGTGTTCAGTGGGAAGGCTGCTTGAGAGGCTCTCTCTCCCTCTCCCATTGCCCTCCCCCCTGCTCAGGTGCTCTCTAAATAAAAAAATAAATAATCTTAAAAAAAAAAAAAGAACAGAGAAACCCAAAGAGAACTTTTTTTTAAAAAGGAAAATAAAGTTTAAATAATAAACCAATGAAATGAAGGAAAATAAGAATGCAATGGAGAAGGAAAAGCCAACAGTAGCTTTCATGAAAAGACTAATACAATAGACATACCTCTAAAAAGATTTATCAAAGGAGAAAAAAAGACAAAATTGGAGTGAATATAGAAATTTAAAAATTAAGAGAATTTATGGTAAACTTTATGCTACTAAGAAAGTTGAAAACATTAACAACATGAATAACTTTCTAGAAAAACAGTTCTTCGTAAAATTCATTCAGAAGAAAAAAGAAAACATGAACAGACCTAATGTTAAAGAAATATAATAAGGAGTTTAAAATTTACCCACAGACAATAAAACATGCACATACACCAAATAAAAAGGGACCATGTCAGTTTTTAAAGAAATTCTACCAGTCAAGGGATAATGGCAATCTCATACCAAATCTTTCAAAGAACAGAGAATTACAGAACCCTATAACTTACAAACATAGACACAAAAATCCTAAACAAAATAATATAAATAATAAGCCAAACTTTGCATGTGTGTATAATTGTATTTTATACATGTCTACTTTACTTTTTATATATGTATAAATGTATGTTATGTATTTAATGTTTATCATACATATTACATATTTTACAATATATTATGTAACTTATATTATTAATTATACATATTAATTATATAATTGTTATATAATTATTATTTAAATAGTCACCTGATATATATCATTATATACTATATGTCACACGGAATATATTATATCAAAAATAAAATCTCTATATATGTCAAATGTTTTAATATATATATTAAATATATAATATTCTGTTTATGTGTCTAATTGTATGAAAAGACTGGGATGTTTTTATTACCAACTAGACTGAGAGTCAGAAAGTCAAGGTGAGGAGCCAACATACAACATTGTCATCAACAGAGCTGGTTGAGTATTAGTCATAGTAATGGGGAAGGAAGGTGTTTGCAGAGGGACACTTACCAGGAAAGCATATGACTCATTTAACCGGGAGGAGGTCTGATGTGTAAGCAGCCTCTCCTGACATACCTAGCGACTGTCTCCATCATCACTCCATCACAGTCATGCTATCAGAGTATATGCAGGGACAGCTAAACTTTACTTTCTAAAGTCAGGATTCCTGTTTGCCCGGGGACTATTTGTTTAACTGCTCTATGCAACTAACCCTTATCGAGCAACATAACTGCAGCACAACAATGATCTTCATGACAAATTAATATTTGGCTATCAAACCTGTATGTTATATATACTGTGTGTGCATATATATATATCTCAAAATTTAGCTTTTCCTGATATAATATATATATCAAAATTTAGGGGCGCCTGGGTGGCTCAGTGGGTTAAAGCCTCTGCCTTCAGCTCAGGTCATGATCCCAGGGTCCTGGGATCGAGCCCCACATCGGGTTGTCTGCTCAGCAGGGAGCCTGCTTTCTCCTCTCTCTCTCTGCCTGCCTCTCTGCCTACTTGTGATCTCTGTCTGACAAATAAATAAATAAAATCTTTAAAAAAAAAATTTAGCTTTTCCTGAGACTGCAACTATGGTTTAACATTAGAAAATAAATTATCATAATCACCACATAAACAGATTAATGGAGAGAAACCACATGATACTATCAATACAACTAACTCATTGATAAATTCAATGCCCATTGGTGACGACAGAGCTCTTTGGAAACAAGAGTCACAGACTTTGAAGGAAAATGTGTCTTGAAACCCTATATATCAAAAGATAGAATGAAAATGTAAAATGTCATATGTATACCAGAGATACTAGCTATGATAAGTTCCCATAAGTCAGTAAGAGAAAGAAACCAATAGAAAAAAGCTTCAATCAGAGCAAATCATGGGTAAATCACAGAAGAAGGCTAAAAGGTTAATGGACTTACAAAAGGCTCAGCCTTGCTAGGGAAATCATAGAACACAAATTAAGTCCACATTTAGGTACTATTTCAGATCCATCAGATTATCAAAAATTATAAATTATAAGCAAAGAATCAGGGAGATATGAAACGGTCGGCGCTCTTATGTTGTCGGCAGGATATAAACTGACACAATTTCAAGATCAGCAGTATCTAGTCACATTAAATGCGCACCCCTACACAGCAGCATTTTCAATTTAAGGTATATCCTCAGAGGAAAGCATTCACCGAACACAAGGACCCATGGAGAAGAATGTTCCCAGCGGCATGGTGTGCATCAGCAACAAACAAAACCACCTAGACATAAACTTCAGCGCCTATGCCACTGAACAATGGATTCGAAAACACAACATATTCATTTTTTTGCCACACTGCAGAGTGATTAAGAGAGTGTGTTCTGAGAGATACTACCTGACTTTCCACTTATCGGTTGCCTCTCTGTCTTAGCTTCCTCATCTATAAAGTGAAAATGCTTCCTACAGAGAGGACTGTGGTATAAAACAGGTAACATATGTGAAGGTTTCTTCATCTGTCATGGAGAGAGTGCCTGGTATCTCTAAGTTGCTTTTCTTGGTGCTGGTGAGACTGTATGTTGCCACACTGGCCCGCGCGTAATGTGTGCTGGGATTAACAAGCCCAGCGAGCCCAGGGCTGGATGTGCGCCCTCCAGGTATGAAAACGCAAGGATGGAAGGTTGCGTGGCCCACGCTGTTATTGAAGCAATGTTGTGATCTCCAAGTGCTGGAAGCAGCCCAAAGCTCCAATGGTAGGGCTATGGTTACATATAATTCTGATATACTCATGGAATATTAGCTTTTGAAAGCAACAAGTGACATTCTATATACTAAATGTTTGTTAAAAAAAATAAAATAAAATAAAATAAAATAAAATAAAATAAAATAAAAAACAGAAAAAGACATAGCTCTTGTAACCTGGAGAAGTAGGATTGGAGAAGGGTAGGAGAAACCTTGAATTTTTCTTCATATCTATCTATATAGTGTGACTGATTACAATTTATTTGTATTACTTTTGAAACAAGAAAAGTTTTAATAATAAGGGTTCTAAAAAAGAAAGGGGATTATCTAGTAAAAAGATGAAGTCGTTTTAGAAAGAGATTGACTTGCACAATTTTGTAATCCTGTAAAAGCTAAGAGTAGACAAATCAGCTCAGTGATCTGGATGTGATTTGCATGGAGTCCTGTTTTTTCCTTTCCTGAATCTCTTTACAGGATCAAATACAGAGTTGCTTTGTTTTGTAGCTGTTCTTATTGTTGTTTATTGCTAACTTGAGGGGAAAACAAATACAGGTCCATAATCGTTATCTGAACTACCTGGGACCAAATGCATTTTGGACTCAGAATTCTTTGTCAGTGTCGTTCTACCTCTGTTAAAAATGCAGTTGGTATTTTGATAAGGATTGCCTTGAATCTGTAGATTGTTTTGGGTACTACAGACATTTCAACAACATTTGGTCTTCCAATCCATGAGCCTGGAATATCTTTCCATTTGTTAATATTGTCTTCAATTTCTTTCATCAGTGTTTTACGGTTTTCAGAGTACAGATTTTTCACCTCCTTGGTTAAAATGTATTCCTAGGTATTTTATTACTTTTGGTGCAATTGTAAATGGGATTGTTTCCTTAAACTCTCTTTCTGCTACTTCATTATTAGTGTAGAGAAATGCAACAGATTTCTGTATGTTGATTTTGTATCCTGCATCTTGACTAAATTTAGTTCTAGTAGTTCTAGTAGTTTTTTGGTGGTGTCTGTAGGGTTTTCCATATAAGGTATCATGTCATCTACAAAGAGTGACACTAGGCCTTCTTCCTTAATTGATTTGGATGCCTTTTATTTACATCTCTTGTTTGATCGCTGTGGCTACTACTTCCCGTATCTGTTGAACAACAGTGGGGAGAGTGGACATCCTTGTCTTGTTCCTGACTGTAGGTGCAAAGTTCTGTTTTCCACCATTGAGTAGCATGTTAGTGATGGGTTTTTCATATATGGCCTTTATTATGTTGAGGTATGTTCCCTCTAAACCTATTTGTTGAGGGTTGTTATCATGAATAGATATTATAATTTGTCAAATGCTTTTTCTGCATCTATTGAAATGATCATATGGTTTTTTACCCTTTCTCTGTTGTTGTGATGTATCACATTCTTGATTTTCCAATATCGATCCATCTTTGCACCCCAGAAATAAATCCCACTTGATCATAGTAATAGGTTTTTTTTTTATTATTATTATTTTTTTTATGTATTGTTAGGTTTGGTTTGGCCTTCCCAGAGTCCCTGCCTTCTGGTGTTCATGCTCTTATGCAATTCCTTCCAACTGAGTGTGGGCAGGACCTGTGAAGTGCCTCTGACCAACAGAATATGCCAAAAATGATGGGATGTGACTCCTAAGATTCTATTTCATTATATGGAACTCCATCTTTCTAAAAGACATACTTCAGAGACACTCTCCTGAGCTCACTTTGAAGAAGTAACTGGCCATGTTGAGAAGCCCATGTGCAAGTGGTTGAGGGGAGCCTTCTAGAAGCTGAGGGCAGCCTCCAGCCAACAGCTCACAAAAAGCCAGGGACCTATGCCCCATAATAATAAAGAAATGAATTCTGCCAACAACCTGGGTGAGCTTAGAAGAGAATCCTTCCCCCAAGCCTGGCCAATACCTTAATATACAGCTTTGTGAAACCTTAAACAAAGGACCAACTAAGCTGTGCCCAGATTTCTGACCCACAAAATTCATGAGATAATATGTGTGTGTTGTTTTAAGCTATTAAATCTGTTCAGTGGAAGAGATAATACAGTCTCCAAATCATTTTAGGTTAGGTCTGATTTTGTAGTCAAACAAATTTTTTTTTTAATTTTAATTTTATTTTTTGTAGTCAAACAAATTTTAAAAAGCTTTCAGTTTTTGGAGCTTTTTAAATTTTGTAATTATAAATAACATATTGCAGAAATATAGAAAGCACGGATTAATAGTATCAATGATTCAGGAAGCTCAGGCTTTGGAATTGGTAAATTTCAGTTTTCATTATGGTTCTAATATTTACCATCTGTGTTGTCTGGGTCAAGGTCCTGAAACCATCTGAATCAAAGCCCATAATGTTCACTGATCTTTCCTACATTGCTCTGAGAGTTGACTAAAATATTAACCACAAACACTATATCCCAGACACTGCACTAAGTACTTGACACATGTTGACACACTTACTTTTCATGATAACCCAATGAAGCATGGATTGTCCATATCTTCATTTTTTAGCTGGGGAAACTGAGGAAGTTATGTGCCTGGGGTGACACAGCTAATACATGGGGAACAGGAATGCGAAAGGTCCGCACAGATAACCAGTACACTGTGTCCTGTCTAAGCACTAGAGCATGCTAACAAGGGGAGGGCAACACAGTGCCACTGAAAACCACTAAATGACCTCTCTGGCTGTGAGGCTGCCCAGGGGCAGGCAGTGAACGTGGCTGTAACTTCAGGTCCCTTCCATCCATAGCATTTAGGGCTTCTTCACATACCTTGATAGCTCCTTAACATTTTCCTCACATCAAAATAAAGCTCAGAAACACTGCACACGGCATGAAGCTCCAGAGAGTGGGCGTCTGGTCTCTCCAACGTCATAGCCCAACTCCTAGAATAAGCAGAGGCCAAGGACTTGTTCAGTGAGACAGCCCATTCACCTTTCTGTACCCATACCCCTCCCCTCGTGCGCTCATATAGAACTTACCTGCGCAAAGTGTCTTTCACATCCTACAGAGAAACACAGACAAAAAGTAAGTGGAAACATCAGTATTTCATGAGGCTTGGCACATGGGGCTGTTCTCTATACATGCTCTTCCCAAAGAAGTGAAGACATTTGACTCTAGCCTCAAATACTGATGGATACTCAGACAGAACGATTCCCATCCCAGCCGTCTGGGATATTCAGCATGGCAGGATGTGTACCAGTCTCTGAGTCTGCTGTCTTTCTGGCTGAGATCTGTGGGCAGCTATGGTGTTTGCAATCACAGCCTGTGGGATGCTTCGGGAAGAGGCCTAGGAGCTTTGCCCATGCTTCCTCTGGCAAGTTGCTTTCAGTAACCTAATTCCTTTCAGAGTGAGCCCATACCACCTATCACTAAGGGTCCTTAGCGGTGAATCTGTGCACAGCCCCTGAGAATGGCCCACTAAGATGGTGGCAGCGGGTGTCACACGGCAGTACAGCAGTCATGCTATCATCTCCCATTTACAGTGTCACCTGAGTCCTACTGGAAGGAACTAGAACTAATAGCTCCAGGCATAGTTTATCTTAATGGGGTAGATCTTCATACAGCTGAAAGAAGGCCCCATAAAGCTGTGGAGGGCTCTACAAGCGAATTGGGGAAAATACTGTCCCTCGTGTTGGCTGTCCCACTCTATGACCCACCAGTCAGCTGGTGGAGTGCTTCGGGAGGCAGTTTGACAGTCAGGGTTCTGTGCACATGGATCAGAGGCAAATGGTAGCAAAAGTTACCCCATGATTCACTTTAGCCAAGGACCCTACCATATCCATCAGAAGGGCTACATTTTTCCGAGTCACAGAAACAGATTTTTGTGATTCACTATAGACTAGCAAAGGCCACCCAATGCTGAAGTATACCTCAAAGAAACATTTCTTTCAATTCCCCACGCCCATGTGCCACTTGAGTGAGGGAGGCAGGTCTCACCAATCTGCCTGTGTTCCCTCCCCCTTCGTCCTCTCTTAATAGCTCAAGAGTTCCTTCCCCCGAGGGCACAGCCCCACCTGCAGCAACTTCTGGGCTGAGCTCTGACATTTCTCCTCTAGTTCCAGGATGTGACTCCTGAGTTCTTGGCTTTTCTGTTCCAGAGTGGCCTCGTTATCTCTCAGTCTCTTCAGAGTCTGCTCTTTCTCTTTCTCCAGCTTCCAGAGATGAGACTTCTCCTCTTCTTGTAGGAAGCTCTGAAGATTTTTAAAGTCAGACTGGATTTTTTGTTTCTCAATCTCTATCTTCTCCTAGAGTCAAGAGAGTATGCTCAGAAGGTAGAACAAGCCAAACGTCCATCGATGAACGAATTGGTAAAATATGGCATACAGATAGTGACGTACTATGAAGACTTAAAAAGGAATGAAATTCTGACTATGCTATGACGTGGATGAATCTTGAAGACATTATGCTAAGTGAAATTAACCAGAAACAAAAGGACAAATATATGATTCCACATATATGGGCTACTTATGCTAGCCAAATTCGTAGAGACAGAAAGTGGACAGGGTTACCAGAAGTTGAGAGGAGAAAGGAATGGGGAGTTAGTGTTTATCGGGTACAGAGTTTTAGCTTGGGATGATGAAAAAGTTCCAGAGTTCAGTTTCCACTATTAGTTCCCACTCATAGACAGTGGTGATAGTTAAAGGACTTAACACCAATGAACTGTATGCTTACAAATGATTAAAATGGAAAATTTTATGTTATGTGTATTTTAACACACACAGAAGAATGTTTTCTCAGTCATTGGAGCTTTAAGAATGTCACAGATTGCCTGCCGCTGAGTCATGCCTAGGAGGCAAGCACTGAGATGTGGGAGAGTTGTCATGATTCTCCACAGTCACCCTACGGATTTCCTTCTTCTTCAGCCAAGATGCAGGAAGAAGGAGGGGCATTAGTGCCAGATAATTTAATCACCGAACTGGAGCTGAGGTCAAACACTTTCTCAGTAACAGAGGAAAAAAACTGAATTTTTATTTGGGAGGTAAGGAGGTATTTCTGAGCCTGAGGGAATTTCTGGAAGCAACAGTTTGTAATAAACATCATGGAGATTGGACTCAAAAAAACAGGCTAGTAGGGAAGTCCATGGTTTCAGCAGGGGGAGGTCTGGGTGGCAGGCTTTTATCATAGTTAACTGAGAAATATTCACCACCAGTCCGGGGTCCAAGTAATCATCTTCACGTGTAAAGGCGATAGAAGCCAAGGGATATAAGTCTTTTTGGGTCAGGCTTTCAAATTTGGGAGATAGAGAATTATAATTTCCACTAGTGCTTTCCCAACTCAGACAGTGTTTTGGTAACTGAGAGGATGTGTTAGAAGGGTCATGGATGGGGTTTCTGTATATATTAGCTATAATCAAGATCCTACCCACAGCCCAAGATCCCAGAAATGAGGGAGGTGACAGCATCCTTGGGGAGTTTAGCATCCACACACAAAGGATCAGGGCAGAGGAAGGAAGATACCCCTGAAAGAGGGAAAATGGTCCACCAGGCTGAGGCGTTTGGCTACAAGTTGATGGGTTACATAAATATTTCCATAAAGGAATGCATCTCTGATCATGGGGAACTAGTCAGCCATGGGATCATCTTAGAGACTCTAAGTCTGCAATTGAAGTGCATAGGTTCTTGCAAAGTTGTGACCCTCTTTATAAATCAGATAGACTTCTTTTACCAACCTCATGAGCTTGAGGACTGAGTCTCAACCTGGAGTGATTCTATTTCCTTAATGTTCACAAAGATTGACTTCTGAACCTACAAGGCTGAGAGCCAAGGCCCGCACTGTGGAAAGTGTGCCGAAGTAATAACGTTAAGGCCTTCAAACCAGGAAGGCACTTTGAGGTATTTCAAATTTGAAGCCTGGTCAATGACGGCTCTGACTAAAATAGACATACCAATTCTGCTTCCCCTAAGGTATCAGGAATCCTAGCCAATTACTATTGAAAAGTTGAAGGGATCGGAAATAAATTCTCACAGATGTAGACAACTAGGGGTATTAAAATAATGGTTTCTTTTTGGGGTTTCATCTGTTCTGGTTTACTAAAAATAAATTATCATTGTCTTTTGCCAACCATTCCCCATGCCTGCACTCTAGGGTAGAAAAGAGCTTGAGAACAATAAATGCAAATTCTTACATTCCATTCGCTTATCTGCTTTGTTGTGAACAACTTCAGTTTCATGCACTCCTCTTCTAGTTGCCTCAAATTTGTCACAGCATTCTGAAGCTTCTCCTGAAGGAAAAATCAGGTGAATAAAGTCCATTCAATTAGTAACTCTCCATTAGACACGTTAAGGGGAACCCCAGCCCTCCAAGACTCTTAGAATAACCGAATACACACTGAGTCATTACAGTAGTTTAGGAAGCACGCCGAAGGCTGTATGTGCAATCACAGATTTGATTCCCTTGGCGGCACAGAGCAATTGGTAGGATTCTTAACACCATTTCTGTGCAGCAGAAACTGAGGCTTAGAAAGGGGTTAAATAACTTGCCCGAGTGCTGTAATCCCTCATAGATAGTTCTGAGTGGCTGCTGGAGCTAGATGCCATTCCAACCTCGTCTGCTACCCCAGAGCCTGAGCCGTATCCACTACGGTCTTGCCAGGGAAACACTTTACACAGAACATCTCATCATCATCTACAAGATTTTATAAAATAATGTGTTGAACCAAACATAACCAATGCCAGGGTGATGCACAGGGAACTCTGAATGTGTTATGTTCAGTTGGGAAGGGAAGACCAGGATGTCAGCTAAAGTTACCAGGAACAGTTAACGCAGGAGGGGAGCTCTGCTGTCTTTGAAGAGTGGTAATTCGTGAAGCCAATCTAAAATGATTTTGTATCTATATCAAGTTTTGGGGTTATTTTTCAAAACATTTTCACGGGGCGCCTGGGTGGCTCAGTGGGTTAATCCTCTGCCTTCGGCTCAGGTCATGATCCCGGGGTCCTAGGATCGAGCCCCGCATCGGGCTCTCTGCTCTGCAGAGAGCCTGCTTCCCTTCCTCTCTCTCTGCCTGCCTCTCTGCCCGCTTGTGATCTCTCTCTGTCAAATAAAAAAAAAAAAAAAACAGTTTTTCACATTTCCGTGGAAAAGAATTTGAAGTGACCTAAATCACTGCTTGCCATCAATTCTACAAGATCAGCTCCTGTCTTCTGTAAACTCAGTGAGCACACTCGTTAATTCTGAGAACTCTCGAGAAAGGGCTCTATGAGACTTGTCAAAGACTGTATTGCCATTGCTATCCAGGGGACCCAGAACCTCACTACAAGCCCGCCTCTACCTCACAGGGGCAGGAACAAAGAGCCCCACACTGGGGACGTTTTCTTCAAATCTAGGCAGGACAGGGAGAGAATAAGGTAGCAGTACTGTACCCTTTCTTCATTCCCTCGAGCAAAGGCCAGCCTTCTTTACTGCTTCTGAGTGAGAAACAGGAGTTGCCCCGAACCTCTCCCTCTACTTCATCCTCCATGAACAATCATTTTCCAATCCTTTAGCTCCCCTTCCTGAATCTTGCTTGAAGCTACCCCTTCCCCCTTCTTACAGGAATAAGCTGAATTTTACTCCTGGATACACCTTTCACTTCAGTAAAAGGCCAGAATGCCCTTTTCGATGTCAACCTGATCCTTCAATCTGCAAATAAAGCCCCCCAGTGGGCAGCACCACTCTGCCCACTCTACGATTTAGACTCTGAGTTGACACCACAGTTCCGGGCCAACCTCCTTTCCGAGGCCATCACCTGGCCTTCCCTACATCCCCGGCCCTGGCTATGCCCTCGCACCTATGGTCTCCTCTGCCCGGAACGCCCTCTCTTCTCTCCGGGCCTCTACCTGTGGCTGACTGTTACGTGCTCTTCAGGAGTCACTTCCGGAAAGGCTGCTCAGTCCCCTTCCCCACCCCTTGTTGATCCTCCTCCCCACCCAACCAGCTGATTCCACGCAGCCTCTTTTACTTATTTGTCTTCCCCATTGGACTGTAGGATACCTAAAAGGTGGTATATCTTTGTCTCCTGTGTTTTCAAAGTGCATCATATGGTCCCGCCCACTGTTAAAATGACATACATGGGGCGAAGCAATAACACAAGCAGGTGTGCATCCGAGTACATGGCGATCCGGAGCAGGGAGACGTCCACGGTAGCAAGCAAGAAGGGAGTGGGGCAATAGTGGGACCCCCCTATTGAAGGTCAGGATGGACGGTCGGGACTTGACTCAGTGAGAACCCACAATACTCTATTTCTCATATCACGAAAGACGTGACATGAAGGGTGACACGATGACAGCTGTGTTTCAGGATAATCGTCTCAGGTTATAGGCTAAATAACCTCGGTCCCCAGGGAGCAGCATGGGAGCAGCACCTGCCAAAACCTGCCAACCCACACGCTCACCTTGTAGTCCTGGCATACGTCCTCGATGAGGGCTGTGTGGTGCCCTTTGTGCCGCGGTGACCGCTCACAGCGCCAGCAGATGAGCTGGCTCTCGTCTTCGCAGAACAGGTGGAGGTGCTCTCCGTGCTCCTCACATGACATCTCATGCTCCATCTCCTTGATGGCTTCAATGAGACTCCCCAGCTGCTTGTTGGGCCGGAGGCTGGCCAGCCGAAATGGAGCCCGGCAGTGGGGGCAAGGGAACGTATTGGACGATGTGTCCACAGGGCCTTGGTTCTCAAGGAAGCTGACGATGCACTGACTGCAGTAGCTGTGTCCACAGCTGATGCTCATGGGCTCAGACATTAGGGACAGGCAGATGGCACACGTGGCTTCCTCCTTCACCTTCTTGGTGGCTGAGGCCATGGCTTTTCCTGACAAGTTCCAATATGGGATCTAGAGGCAGGGATGAAAATCCACAGGTATGGAAATACACCTCACCTGAGCCTCCGACCCATGCACTGCGTGGGAAGCCACCGGCCTCCACAGGTCCTAGAGTCTTCTCTCTAGAGAGATGAGATGGACTGGGATTAAGATGGTACATAAAATGAGGCTGTGTTGTGGAAAATGGCAGTCACGATCCCATGTGGCCACTTATATTTAAATTAATTAAAATTGAATAAAACTTAAAACTCGGTTTCTCAATCCCGCTAGCCATATGCTTAACAGCTGGGGCCACTGGAGGCTCCATGATGGCCCATATGCAACACTCCATGGGTGCACAGTTTTCTCAGACCCAGCACTGACAGAGACAGAGAGCAAGGAAGGCTTCCTCACCAAAGCTGTAGCAAGAACAGAACTCAAGTGAGGGAGTGTGAAACTCCTACTCTACAAACATCAAGAATCCTTATACCAGAACTGTTTCTTCGGGACTGGAAGCAACCCTGAAGTAACTGGGTGGCCATGAAGGATTCCCCTGAGGTCGTCAAATTTGACTCTGCTGGAACCACACTGCCCCCTCAGTTCGTCAAATTTGACTCTGCTGGAACCCCACTGCCAGCTCTCTCTGCCCCCACTCCCACCCCACGGGGGACAAAAGACTCCGGGTTAATAATGTCTCAACGGAGCCCCAATAACAAAAGCAAATTAGGCAACCGAAAAGAACCAATGTGTCTTTGCTGTTGTCCTCTCAGTACTGAGGGAAAGATCTGGAAAGAGTTGGGAAAAGAAGGGTTGTCCCCGGGAACAGAGCTCCTGCAGAATGAGGGAGCGGACCAGCTCCCCTCCAGGCCAGGACGTGGTTCTCGGGGTGACGGGAGCACGGAGGACCGGGGTGGGGGGTTTGCAGAAGCCAGGGTGTGGGGGAGGCCGCGCCCCGGGGGTGTTCCGGGGGCTCGGCCTCTTGGTGTCCAGCGGCGAGGACCCGACGACGGGTGACAGGGAGGCCTGACCTGAGGCACCCACTGCGGCTGGCAGCGGCTTGGGGAACCTCGCCCTGTCCCCCACTCCCCAGCCCCGCGCCTTGGCGGGGAGGGTCGCCGAGGCGCGAGGAGCAGCCTCTGCACGGACAGGGCCAGACACGAAATCCGGGCTTCCGCTCTGGCTGCGAGGCGGCTGCCGGCGTCTGAGAGCCAGGGCCGGTCCTCGCAGTCACGGCGGATTTCCTCCGGGGACCTCCCTTCCCCGGCAGGCGGCTTCTCCCCCGGACCACAGCCGGCTCCCCGGCGCCGGGGTGCGGCGCTCCCCTCGGGAGGCCCCGAGCGTGCGAGGCGGGCGGGCAGGTGCCCTCCCTCACCGCGCAGCCCACGGCTCCCCAGGCCCGGCGGGCGCTCCGCGGCCGCAGGAGCCTGACAGCCGCCGGGAACGCGGGCAGGGTCCCGGCGGCGCGGGCACTCGCACACGCACCCCCCGCGCTCCCCGCCACACACACCCCCGCGCTCATCTCCGCCACCTGCCCGGCCGCGCGTGCCCACCACCCTCCCCCACCGCCGCCCGCCACGTACTCGCCGCCGCCGCCCGAGGCCCGGCCGCCCGCGAACTGAGAAGCGAAACTGCTGTGGGAGGCGGGCCGCGAGCGCCCGGAAGGCGGTCTGAGGAGACGCCCGCGAACGCCCGGGAGGAGGCGCCCGGGGGGTACCGGGGGGGAGGCGCCAGCTTTGCGCTCAGCTCGACCTGAGCGAGAGCGTCTCACAGCCCGCAGAGGGTCCAGATCTTTCTCCTTCTGCCACCGACCCCCTTTAGGATCCGTAGCCTTTGGGGCCCATGTTGGTCCTGTTCTTAGGTCGCGCGCGGTTGTCCAACAGCTGAAGGGCGTGGGAGAAGGGGTGGTGGCAGGAGCAGAGTTCCGGGCGTCCCGCAGTCGGCCCACGCCAGCCCCGCTTCTCTGTCTCTCGCTCCTCTCCCTCCTCGGCCGCCCTCCGAGGATGCGGATACCGCGCTTCTCCACCACCAGACGCGCGGCCCAGGACTGCAAACGGGAGCCCGCCGGTGGGCCGGCTGCGAGTGGCCTCAGCGGGGGCCGTCACGGGACCTGCACAATGGAGGACAGGCTATGGGGCCGGGGACTTCGCCCAGACAGGGTCCTGCGGGTCCCAAACCGTGGGACACGTTCCTCTCTTCCCTTCCTAGACGGGGGTCTCTCTTAACCACTGTGCTCCCCGGGCTGCTCACAGAGACTTATGCCGCTCTGCAATCCAGTGGCTCATCCTGTTCCGCTGGCACATGGGGTACTGGCAGGCCCTGCGCCCAGCACAGGACATAGCTTCTCCCGAGGCAACCAGCGCACAGACGAAGACCCAGAATGAGGCCCTGAGGCCCTGACCCCATGATGCATCCTTGCTGATCCCCATGACTTTCACTGTTGTGGATGTGACTCTGGACCCAGGCAGAGCTCGTCCCAAACCTGTCTGGTCAAAGGATCAGGCAAAGGAAGCCAGTGGATGCCGAAAAGAAAGCAAACTGCCACTGCTACAGATAACAGCAAGAGAAAAGCAGCGACCTCACGACAGGGCCTGTCTTGCGACGGCCGCCGCACCTTGCATCCGTTCCCTGTTGCGTGAAGGAGGGACTAGTTCGTGCAGAGAGCTGCCCGCAGTGTTAGAAGAGGAGGGGAATGCAGATGAGCCTTCGGAGATATGTTCCCCACATACGTACGGGCCTAGAAAGAGACCCATAGGAGCTGCCGCAAGGGGAAATGCCTCTCCTCCAATGAGTGAGGCTAAGTGCAACCCTGTGAGCCTGGGATGCAGGAACAGGAGATGGGGCACCGCAGTCTCTAAAAGCATGCACTTGGGGCGGTCCCTCTCTGGGGAATACTTGTCCTTCACATAACCCCTGGGTGCCTTCCCTCAACTCCTTCAGGGATCCCTTCTCTACCAGGCTTACTCTGACCACCTATTTATAGTTACACTCCTCCCCATTTGGGATCCCTCTTACAGTCTCTAAGCATCTTTGGTTTAGATCCTGATCCCAGGGTTGTGAGACTGAGCCCCCCATCAGGCTCCACCCTCGGTGGGGAGTCCCTCTGAGAGTCTCTTCCTCTCCCTGACCCTCCTGCATGTGCTTTCTCTCCTCTCTCTCTCTCTCTGTCTCTCTCAAATAAATCTTTTTTTAAAAAATCCCTTTAAGTTTATTAACTTGTATTATGGCCCAGAATGTGGTCTATCACAATGAATATAACCATGTGAACTTGAAAAGAACATGGGTGCAGATGTTCAGTATAATGTTTTGTAAGCGTCAATTCATTCCAGGTGATGGATATGGTTTTTCAGATCTCCTACATCTTTACTGATATTTTATCTAGTTATTCCATCATTATTGAAAGAAGAATATTAAAATCCCGAGCTGTGATGGTAGAATCCTTTATTTTCCTTTTAATTCTTTCCATTTTTTACTCCATGTATCCTGGAGCTCTGTTGTTAAGCTCATACACATTTATGATCATTACATTATCCTGCTGAACTGACCCTTTACCAATACAGAATATCACTCTATCTCTGCAAATACTCTCTGTCTTCCACTCGGTCATTAATATAGATGCTCGGTCTTTTTATGCTTGCTGTTTACATAGTACCTTTTTTCTACACATTTATTTTAAACATCTGTTTTTTTATATTTCAAATGTTTCTCTTCTAGCAGACATATGTTCAGTTCTTCCATTTTTTAATGTATTCTAACAATCTTTGCTTTTTAATTGGAGTATTTAGACCATTAACATTTAACATTAACCTTTACTTTTCTTCCCATACTACACTGGCTGGCATCTCCCAGACAATAGTGAACATAAATTGTGAGAATTAGCTTCTTACTTTATTCTTAATCTGGGGGAAGGGCATAGGTGGAAAAAGCTTTTAATAATTTATCATTAAATATATTGTTTCTTGATATACTACTATTGCATTTTAAATTATCATTATTAAAAAAATAAAGTTATTACATTTTACATGAATTATTAGGAGAAAATATTTTCCAGGAAAATAACATAGCAACATCTCTTAATTTTGTTTCCATCTTTCTTTCACATTTTATATAACCCACATATGGGGCACATTATTGAAACTACGTGTATTTTACATGGCATCTTAGTGACCTCCTTGCTTACATGTTCATCAACAGATGGCACTCTTGCGTTTTTGGTGTCTTACGTCCGTATGGTTTTGCCTTTAAGAAAGCGTAACTACTTTTTTGATCAATATTAAAAAGAATTGTAAATTTAATCTGTTCTTACAGGTGACTTCAAATGGCTAACAATGGCATTTACTTCCAAACAGTCATTTTTAAATGTACTTATTCACACAATAACTGTTTACTGAATAGCTTTTCTACGGCAGACACTAGGCTGGACCCTGGGGATATACCAATTATATTAGAGATAATTTATTTCCTATAAAAGTTTCCAGAAAGCTAAAACATGTAAAAAAAAATTATATCCTACATGTTATAACAAGGTAGTAAAAAGTGTTGAAGCTGAGAAAAAAAAATAAAGGAGCGTGCAATTCCCGGCAGAATCTGGATACTTCTGCAGAGTTGAAAACTTCTGAGTCATAATCTGAAGGAGAAGTGAAAGTTCACCAGGGAAAGAGGAGGGCCAGGAATTATAGTGAAAAGGTCAAGAGTCATTAAAAGTATTCCATGTTATGTGAATACAGTGAGGTTAGACCAAGAGCATGGAATCCATGAGGAAGATCGGTTTCCAATAAATCTGGGACCAACATAGTGAGGCAACTAGCAGAACTCATATCTCCTTCCTCCCCTCTCCCTGCATATTTCCTTTATAGGATTTTTACATGGAGGGAAAATTCATAGCCACCACTGAGCTGGAGTGCTGGGGGAAGGTGGAGTATCTGCTCGGTTTGCTTATCCCAAGCTAGGCTCTTCCCCTTGGCCCAGACAGCCTAAGTTCAGGTCCTAGGGACCTGTTACCTACATACAGAACCTACCCCGAGGTGGATTCTGCCCTGAGATGGACTAAAACCCTCCCCTGACTCTTAGTACAGCTAAATTCACTCGCAGACGAGTCTCCCTTTCCAAGAGTCGCTTACCCCTAAGACTCCTCAACATCTTCAACACCATTCAGGGTCATGGAGGTACTGCCACGTCCTTAGCTCTATGACTGATACAGCAATGCAGGAACGAGAAGACCATCAGCCCTTGGATCAGACACTTTTCTCTGGCCCCTATGACCATCAACCTATTTTGAACTCCGATGCCAAGAGATCTTTGGCCCCAAGGGCACATTGCAGTGAGGTTTAAAAATCCAACGAATCTACAAAACACCCAGCCTGTACCCTTTCAGAACTCATTGTCTTGGAAGATGAAGAGGGTGAGGAAATGTTCCTGGTTAAAAGAGACTGAAGAAACTTGACAACTAAATGCAAGGTGTGATCCTAGACTGGGCAGAGGGGAGAATGTTAGGAGAGACATCCTTAAGACAGCTAGTGAAATTCAAACTTAGAGATAAAATATTTAAGGATAGAGGATGATATCTGCAACTTAACCTCAAATCCTTCAGCAATTATATATAGAGGCACAGATCTATAAAAGGATGTATGGGTAGAGAGAAAACAAATGTGGCATGATATTAACAATTGGTGAACCTAGGTTTGGATATAGGAGAATTCTTCGTTTGTCTTGCAATTTTTCTGTCTGAAATTATTTCAGAATAAGTTTTTAAAAACCACAAGTCCCATTGACCTTTGACACATACACCAGGGTGCAGGTTCAGTAGGGACTTCTAGGTTCAGTGTGCCTTCTAGGTTATGAGATAAAGGGATCCTGAGAAGGAGACAGGCTGCTTGGTTCCTCCCTTCGGGACTAGGGCTCTGGCTCTCTGTCTCTGTCTCTCCCCCACACACCCCTCTGTATATCACTCCCCTGATCTGGTCTACGTCTCTCTCTACCCCAATGGCTTTGTGTTGTGATGGGTTGTTTATATGTTTGTTTTGTTTGCTTGCTTATTTTTGATCTTTTTCTCTTTCTGTAACTGAAAGTAGACATTCCAGAACAGCCTGTTGTACTCCAATCCATCCTGAGCATGGATTTTTTTTTTTTTGGGGGGGGGGGTGCTTTATCCTGTTTGGAGTTTTCTGATTATCTTGACCCCGTGCATTTATGTCTTTCAATGTATTTGAGAGTTTTTAGTCCATATGGATTCAAATATTTTTTTTCCACTCTGTGCCATTTCTCCTGTACTTCTGAGGCTCTGATGACCCAAATGTTAGAGCTTTTCAAAATTGTCCTACAGGCTTGAAACAATGCATATTTATTTTTACCCAGCATCTGTAAATCTGAAATTGAGGCTTAGCTGAGTTCCCTGCTTCAAGGTCTCACCTGAGTGCAGTCTAGATATTGACTAACTCTGAGGGCTCATCAAAAGCACGACTAGGGAAATAGCCGCTTCCAAGCTCACTCGGGTTATTACAAAAATCCAGTTCCTTACAGCTAGAGAACTGAAAGTTTAAATTTCTTGGTAGAGGTTTCCTGCAGTGTCTTCCCATATGGGGATTCTTAAAC